GGAGGAGGAGGAGGAGGAGGAGGAGGAGGAGGGGGAGGGGGAGGGGGAGGAGGATATCCCCTTTCCTTATGTCAGTTCTCTTCCGTCTTCCTCCAGGATGAGTGGGGTCCACCGTATCTGGCGAGCGGCAAGTGTGCGCTACGCCCATGTGGGGGCGCAGCTGTTCGAAAACACGTGGCGCGTCGGCGGCAACGACATTTCGCAGTTTCGCGCGCGATGTGCGCAGCATTCCTGCCATGCATGCTGCAACGTCGGCGATACAATGTCCACGTTGACAGGACAGGCGTCGACATCGTAATGTTTTCCTGATTGGGACCGAAGTGCATGGATGAGGGGGCTATCGGCTGTCTTGGTGGCAGAGTAGAGATACATCACAATAGTGATGAGCAAGGGGATCATGCTGATGATGATAATGCTGGTACTGCTTGCTGCTGCTGATGATGATTGTGGTGATGATGATACTCTTGATCTTGCTGACCATGATTATGCTGATGATGCTGATGCTGATGTTGATGCTGATGCTGATGCTGATGTTGATGATGCTGATGCTGATGATCATGCTCATGCTGATGCTGATGCTGCTGATGGTGATGCTGATTATGGTGGCGATGATGATGATGGTGGTGGTGGTGGTGGGGATGATGATGACGATGCTGCTGCTGCTTATGTTGTTGATGATGCTGCTGATGATGATGTTGATGATGATGGTGGTGGTGATGATGATGATGATGATGATGGCGATGGTGGTGGTGGTGATGATGCTGATACTGCTGATGATGCTGATGTTGATGTTGATGCTGATGCTGCTGCTGCTGCTGATTATGATGATCATGGTGACGGTGATGGTGACGGTGACGGTGATGGTTATGATGATGCTGCTGCTGCTGATGATGATGGTGATTATGCTAATGATTATGATTATGATGATGATACGGATGCTGATGAAACTGCTGCTGCTGATGATGATGGTCATCATCGTGTTGATAGTGATGGTGATGGTGATGGTGATGGTGATGGGATGGTTGTGGTGATTACGATAGCATCTGATGGTGGTGATGTTGTTGATGACGATGGTGGTGATGATGATGCTGATGGTGACGGTGATGTTGGTGATAGTGGTGGTGAAGCACTGTGCAACACGACGAGGAGGAGCAGGAGGATCTACCTTTCGGCCCTCGGTGGAGTCATTTTGGCTCAGACTTTGGCTCTCAGTGGGCGCTCTCGAGTGAGCCTCGTGGGCCCTCGCGCCCCCTCCAGCGCCATGGCCGGCGGCAAGAAGCAGGTGACCGGGGCCGCGCGGCAGCGCCGCTCCACCACCGCGGACACGGCCACGCTGGAGGACTCTTCCGCTCTCCCTCCCTCCCCCCCGCCCCCCTTGCCCCCCTCCACCTCCCCCCCTCGGCCTCTCCCTGTCCAACTTCCCCTTCCTCTCCCCTTCCTCTTCGCCCTCATCCCTCCACCTCTCTTGTCCCCTCTCACCCCGCCCCCCACGCCCCCTCTCTTTCCCTGCCCCCCTTGGCTCCCTCCATCTCCCCACCCCCCTCGGCCTCTCCCTGTCCAACTTCCCTTTTCTCTCCCCCTCCTCCTCGCCCTCCTCCCTCTCCTCCCCGTCCCGTTCCCCTCCCCATCTGAGCGGCAGAATCGGGATTCGTCTTCACTGCAATTCACTGCCATTGCTACCACCATTTGCTGGGGGTCGCGTGTCGCTGTGATTTGAGGCTCAAGACGCTTGGCGGCTGCCAGTGTGAACTTTGCGCACATAATATTTGCAGTGACCAGAGGACGATGTTGTAGCAACGGTTTGTTGAAACCTCCTACATATTGATCGATGTCTTTGCTTGTCTGTCTTGATTGGAAAGTGGAATTCCAGATATCACGAGGGAGCGCGAAGATCTGGACGAACACGTTCAGGCAGGAATGTGTAATAAGGTTTTTTTTTTTCCTTCTCCCCCTTCCCCTGCCACTCCTTCCCCTTCCCCCCTGCGCGATTCCGCGTTCGTGGCAAAAGCGGAGGAGGAGGAGAGAGGGGGAGATGGAAGGGGGGAACATGCTGACGATGCTGATGGAGGAGTGGAGATTTTTCGGTTTGGGTCCCAGGAGGGTTCTCACCGAGCGCGTTCCACTACTCGCAAAGTGCCTACTCGCAAACGTCCGAAAAACGATGCGTCTGCCTTCGTGTGATATATCGTAAGTCCCCCGCGGCGGATCCAGGCCATTTGCGAGTAGCTCTTGTGCGAGTAGTGGGACGCGCTTGTCCAGGTTCGCAGATTCCGAAAAGGACTATGAAGCTTCAGAGAGGTCCCCCTCCTCTCCTCCGCCCTCCTGCCTCGGCCAGAGCCCCCAGGCCCACTTGTGGCGCAGGTTTTTCTCGGGGCCTCTGACGACGGGGTGCCGGTCCACCAAACAAAGGCCCGCACGTCTGAGGCCGACGTCCAGGCTGGCCGCACTCGCCCTCGGGAGCGCAAGGCTAACGCGGCGGCCGACACCCTTGCCAAGAGAGGGGCGGCCATGCATTCTGCTGCGGGGCCTGCCGCCGAGGAGCCGGCGGGCCTCGCGTGCTTGGGGGAGACACTCGGTGCGGCAGGTTCGTGTCGTGCCAGCCCCGGCGTTGGTTTCTGCCACCGCGGGGATCGTGCAGACCTGAAGGATCGGCCGTTCCGTGAACGCTGGCTCGTTCAGCGACGGGCCGCTTCTTGGCCACGGGCGGCGTTCCACCTGAAACGCACGCGCTGGGGTCGCCGCCTGTCGGCAAGACGCGAACCTGCCGCAGGTGGGCTGGGGCCCAAGGTGCTTTCATGGCGGCGGGGGAGTGGCGGGATGCGGGTGCGCTCCCCGAGCGCTCGAGCGCTCCAAGAGGCCAGGCCGCCCCGCCTGTCCCCCGTCGCTCTCGCGCCGTCTCCGCAGTGTGCTTGTCATGCAGGCCGAGGCGCCAATCGATGAGGAGCCAGCGCTTCTTGTCCGGCGTTTCCAGCAGCGTGTTCGAGTCACCAGAGTTCTCGATGCTCGGGGGGCTCTCGTCGCCGACCCTGCCAGGCTGCTCTGTTGCGCTTCGTGCAGGGCGTTCGCCTTGGTAGGAGTGCGTGTTCTGCTGCAGCCCTGTAAGGGAGCGGGGGCGGGTGCTGTTCAGTCGAGCCTGTCCCTCTACAGGGGGAATATTCAAAAAATAATCATAAAATAGTCAGTGGACGATGTTTTGAGTATTTGTTTGACCATTTGGGGGTATTTTTGACTATTCGTAAGTTTTTCGTCCAAAGCCCCCCTGCAGGAGGACAGGCCCGACTTAAAGGTACTGGGCTGAAGCAGCAGCATCGACTGCTCATTTCCCGTGGCCTCTTCGCTCGCTGGCTGAACCAGTACGAGGGGTGGACGGTCGGAGCTTTGAAGGTCCCTTCCCTTGGGACCCCTGCTAGCTAGCCTTACGTCGGGCCTGTCCCTCTACAGGAAGAATATTCAACAATAGTTCCACAATAGTCTGGTAGGCGACTTTTCCGTATTTTCGACTCTTTTTTGTGTTTTGCATTTTCGGGGATTTTTTCGCATAAGATCCCTTTGTAGGGGGACACGCCCGACTTAAAGCTAGCCCAGATTGTGTTGAACAGGAAAAGACCGCGGCTTTGTGCACCCGCCTCGTTTTTCATGAGGCTCTTGCTCGCGTCTGGGGCGAGAGGCGATCCTGGCCAGGTTCGGTCTCGAGTCTGGTGATCTTGCACAGTGGACCGCCGCGGCTGGCCCTATGCGCTCCGAGCAGCTGGAGGACGAGGTATAGTGGGAGAGACCTTTGGGCTAGCAGGCTTTCGATTGCTGGTCTTGCTTCCATTCCATTCCATTCTCTTCCATTACCCACTCCTGTGCCTCTTCTTCTTCCTCGTCTTTTCCCTCCTCCGCCTCCTCTTGTTTCCCCCCTGTCGCCAGTGCCGCCTTCGCCTCCTTCAGCCCTTTCTCGCCTTCTCCGTCCACATGCCCTTGCCCCTCCTTCGGTCTTGCACCTCGAGGAGGCTGACGGGAGGATGAATGAGGAGGAGGAGGAGGAGGAGGAGGAGAAGGAGGAGGAGGAGGCGGAGAGGAGCGAGGTGGAGCCAGAGGCCTCTGAGGTGCCTGGGGGTCTCCAGCGTCCAAATATCCCCAGAGGTTCGTGCAGGCCTTTGGTGGCCTCCTGAAGCTCCAAGCATGACCCCAAACGTCCACAAATCTCGGACGGGAATGAGGGTGGTAACGAGGATGATGCTGATGATGGTGGTCATCACCAGATGAGGAGGATGAGGATGACGACGACGATGACGATGACGATGATGACTATGACGATGATGACGATGACGATGACGTTGAGGATGATGACGACGATGATGATGATGCTGCTGATGATGATGATGCTAATGCTGATGATCATGATGCTGATGATGATGATTCTGATGATGATGTTGATGACGATGCCGATGATGATGATGATGATGATGATGATGATGATGATGATGATGATTATGATGATGATGATGATGATGATGATGAGGATGATGATGATGATGATGATGATGATGATGCAGATGATGGTGGTGAAGGTGATGATGATGACGAGGGTGCTGATGATGCTGATGGTGGTGGTGGTGATGCTGGTGAATGTAATGATGATGCAGATGATGGTGGTGAAGGTGATGATGATGATGACGAGGGTGATGATGATGCTGATGCTGATGACGATGACGATTGCAATGATGATGATGCTGCTGCTGCTGATGGTGACGACGATGATTTGAGATGATGGTGAAGATGATTATGTGGTAGTGGTATTGTGATTGTGAGGCTGATTGTGATGATGGTGCTGGTGGTGATGTTGCTGCTGCTGATGACGATGGTCATGATGCTGATGATGATGACGATGGTGCTGGTTTGTTGATGGTGATGATGATGATACTGCTGAAGCTGATGATACTGATGCTGACGATGATGATAATGTCGACGACGACGATCATACTGATGATGATTACGCTGATGATGATGGTGCTGACGATTCGGATGATTCTGCTGATGAGGATGGTGATGATGATGATGAAGATCATGATGCTGATGATGCTGATGATGATAATGATGAGTATGCTGCTGCTGATGATGATGCTGATGCTGATGCTGTTCATGATGCTGATGATGACGATGATGATGTAAATGTTGCTGCTGATGATGACGATGATGATGATGTTGATGACGACGACGATGATGCTGATGCTGGTGGTAATTATGATGAAGGCATTGATGATGATGAGGCTGATGATGATGACGATTATGATGATACCGGTGGTGAGGATGCTGCTGATGCTGCTGATGATGACGGAGATGCAGATGATGATGATGATGATGCTGATGATGATGGTGATGTTGAAGCTCATGATGCTGATGATGATGTTGAGGATGATCACCATGATGACGACGACGACGAGTGGGATGACGAGTATGATGCAACGAATGCTGCTGATGATGCTGCTCGCGATAATGATGCTTCTTCTTACGAGGATGATAATGCTTATGATGATGCTGCTGATGATGATTATGCTGATGATGCTGACGATGATGATGCCGTTCTGATGATGGTGCGGATGATGATTCAGCTGATGGTGATGCTGATGACGATGATGATGATGATGATGATGATGATGATGATGATGATGATGATGCTGCCGATGATGATGAAGAACGTGATACTGCTGATACTGATGAGGATCTTGCTGCTGCTGGTGCTGGCGCTGATGATGATAATGCTGCTGATGATGCGGATGCTGATGATGTCGATGATGCTGATGCTGATGCTGATGCGTATGCTGATGACGATAATGATGATGCTGATGCTGATATGATGCTGATGATTATGCTGATGATGCTGCTTATGAGGATGATGCTGCTGATGATGATGGTGCGGCTGCTGCTGCTGATGATGCTGATGTTAATTATGATGGTGATGACGATGATGATGCTGCTGCTGATGATGATGACTATGATGATAATTGTACTGATGAAGCTGATGGTGATTGTGATGCTGATTATGATGATGCTGCTGATGGTGATGATGATGAGGATGCTGATGCTGTTGTTCATGATGATGCTGATGATGATGATGCTGATGCTGATGCTGATGCTGCTGCTGATGATGATGATGATGATGCTGGCAATGGCTGATGATGACGATGATGCTGATGCTGATGATGACGATGACGATGATGCTGATGATGATGATGATGATGATGGTGGTGGTGATGATGATGGGGGAGATCGGGAAGGGGGAAGGTGAGGATGATGATGCTGATGATGGTGATGACGATGCCGATGATGATGAGGATGGTGATGCTGATGATTCTGATGATGAGGATGGTGCTTCTGATGGTGGTGGTCTTGCTGCTGATGATGATGAGGATGAGGATGATGATGCCGATGACGATGGTCATGATGATGATGATGCTGATGATGATGATGATGATGATGGTGATGGTGATGGTGATGATGATGATGATGATGATGATGATGATGATGATGCTGATGATGATGATGATGATGATGATGATGATGATGATGATGAGGATGATGCTGATGCTGATGCTGATGCTGATGATGATGAGAAGGAGGATGAGGAGGAGGTGGAGGAGAAGGAGGAGGAGAAGGGGGGGGCAGAGGAGAACCCCCTTTTCCAACGATGCGTCCGAAGGACAAGTGCCATCCGCGCAAGATCTTCATCGGCGGCCTCGCCAGCGACACCACCACGCAGGACCTCCGAGACTACTTCGGCCAGTTCGGAAGCATTGTCGACGCGGTTGTGCTCAGGGCAGTAGGATCGATGAGTTGTATCGAAAAGAGGGAGGAGGAGGAAGCGGAGGAGGCGGAGGAGGAGGAGGAGGAAACGGAGTAGGAGGAGGAGGAGGAGGAGGAGGAGGAGGAGGAGGAGGAGGAGGAGGAGTAGGCAGTTAGGCAATTAGGGGGCTTACGCTAACGCGTGTCGCATTCAGCGAAGGGGGGGATGACTCCCCACGGTGCATGTTGGAACACAGGAAGCGGAGCCGAGACACCCCCCGGGTTCCGCCGCCTCCCCCAGCACGTGGGGGAGGCCGAACCCTGGGGCGGCACCTGGTGGGGTTAGCCCCCCATCACCGCCATGCAATGCCTCACCAGCTCCTCCCGCGTCCCCTCCTCCGCGCAGACGGCCACGAGGGCCGCGCCCACCCTATGGAGCATCTCTATCGGGCTGCCCAGGGCCCGCAGCGAGTCCTGGAGTAGGCTCTTCGTCTCGATCGTTCCGATCTCATTGCTGCTCCCGCTCTGCTCGTGCGACTGCTGCTCTGCGGACTCGACGGCGCCGTCGGAGAGGCTCTCAAAGATGCTCTCCTCACTCGCCACCTTCGTCTCGTGGCTGCTCGGATTCGACTTCTAGATCTTCTTTCAACGCCGATGTCCTTGATCCTTTCTCCTTCGCCTTCTTCTTCTTGCTGGAGCTCGGCGCCAACGGCTTCTGGACGGTCTCCTGCGCCGACGGCTTGAACTACTTTTCATGGTTGAAGCTGCACTGCATCGACGTCTCACGGATCTTTGCCTGCGCCGGTGCCTTGAGCTCCTTCATTTTGATCGTCTCGTGTTGGTGGCACCGCTGACCACCGCCCTGCGCTAGCACCCGAACAGCAAGCTAATGGGTGTCGCTCCTCGATTCCCTCAGCTTCGCCGACCGACTGCGCCTCCAAGGATCGGACGGGAGGAGGAGGAAGGGAGGAGGAGGAGGCGGAGGCGGAGGCGGAGGCGGAAGAGGCGGAGGAGACGGAGGAGATGTAGGAGGCGGAGGAGGCGGAGGCGGCGGAGGAGGAGGAGGAGGAAAAGGAGGAGGATGAGGAGGAGGACGAGGACGAGGAGGACGAGGAGTAGGAGGAGGAGGAGGAGGAGGGGAAGAGGATGAGGAGGAGCAGGAGGAGGAGGAGGACGAGGAGGAGAGGGAGAAGGACGATGATGATCGTGACAGTGGTGGTGATGATGAGGCGGATGATGACGAGGAGGTATAGGGAGGGAGGGATGTCAGGAGATACGTTACTCACCTCTCTCTATATGTATATGTATATGTATATGTATATGTATGTATATAGGTATGTATAGGTATGTATGCATGTATGTATGTATGTATGTATGAATGAATGAATTAATGTATGTATGTATGTATGTATGTATGAATGTATATATGTATGTATGTATGTATGTATGCATGCATGCATGCATGCATGCATGTATGTATGTATTTATGCATGTATATATGTATACATGTATGCATGCATGCATGTACGCATGTACGCATGTATGTATGTATGTATGTATGTATGTATGTATGTATGTATGTATACATGCATGCATGTATGTATGTATGTATGTATGCATGTATGTGTGTATGTATATATGTATGTCTGTATGTATGTATGTATGTATGTATGTATGCATGCATGCATGCATGCATGCATGCATGCATGCATGTATGTGTATATATACATTTGCACACGTATATATATATATAGATAGATATGTGTATCTATATGTATATGTATATATATATATATATATATATAGATATCGAAGACGCCTACGGCGAGTCACCGCCGCCCCCTGCCTTTTTCCCCACATGCTTAGTGGGGTTCTGGTTTTCTTCCCTGCCGCGTCGCACCCGCGTCTCACGCACACACCTCCCTCCTCCCGCTCCTCCCTCTCCCATCAGCTCAGCTCAGCACAGCAAAGCTCAGCTCAGCTCAGCTCAGCACAGCACAGCACAGCACAGCTCAGCTCGGCACAGCACATCACAGCACAGCTCAGCACAGCAGAGCAGCGCAGCACAGCACAGCACAGCACAGCACAGCACAGAACAGCACTGCTCAGCACAGCTCAGCACAGCACAGCTCAGTTCAGCACAGCACAGCACAGCACAGCTCAGCTCAGCTCAGCACAGCACAGCACAGCTCAGCTCGTCACAGCACAGCACAGCACAGCTCAGCACAGCAGAGCACGCAGGGCTAGCGCCGGTCGTCCAGGGCATAGCAGGAGTGGCATTTCCCGACACCGTAGGGGGTGCGCAGAGGGAGGTCCCCGAGCGCGGCCGCTATCCGAGCTGGTCGTCCAGGGCATAGCAGGAGTGGCATTTCCCGACACCGTAGGGGGTGCGCAGGGGGTGGTCCCTGAGCGCGGCCGCTATCCGAGCCGGTCGTCCAGGGCATGGCAGGATAGCGCTTTTTCGGCACCGTAGGGGTGCGAAGGATTATATCAATGGCGAGGGGGAGAGGACGAGGAAGAGGAGGAGGAGGAGGAGGAGGAGGAGGCTATCATTACTCCAGCCATAATATAAGTATGTGGGGTTCCTCGGTGGCGTAATTGGAAACGCCTATGTGGCCGAACGTTGTAGCCAGAGGCCTGCCAAACTATCGGACCATGTGTTCCCCGAATCGCTTTGGAAAGCGTTCGGGGAACACGGTGGGGGAGGAGGAATGAGAGGAGAGGGAGGAAGACGGAGAAGGGAGGCTGAGGCTTTTTGGGAGACTCTTGGGCTACTCTAGGGTTTTATTGGGCCATCTTTGCAGTCTTGGAGGCATCTTGGGACTGTCTTGGAAGCCATTTTTGGGCTATATTGAGGCTTCTTGGGGCCATCTTGATCATCTTGGACGCATCTTGGAGGCCATCTTCGGCCACGCTGGCCGTCTTGGAGGCGTCTTGGGACCGTCTTGGAGGCCATATTGTCCGTCTTGGACGGATCGTTCGTGGACTTCGAGGTCCTGTATGGTCTCTCCGTCGCTGTCGAGAAGAAGCAAATGCCAAAATCCTTCAAAACCCTAGGGAAAAGCAATGATTTTGGTCTCTTCGAGCCCTCCTGGACGACCTCTTGGAGTCCTCTTGGACCGTCTTGGAGGCTCTTGGGGGCCTCTTGGGCCGCCTTAGGCCGTCTTCGATGCATCTTGGGCCGTCTTGGAGGCATCTTGGGGCCATCTCAGCCGTCTTGGAGGCCACCTTGGCCGTCTGGAAGGCCTCTTGGGGGCCTCTTGGGGCCGTCTTGGGGTCCTCTTGGGCCGTCATGGGGCCATCTTGGAGGCCTCGTGGGTGATCTTGGGGCGATCTTGGGGGCCTCTTGGGCCGTCTTGAGCCGTCGGAATGCCGAGAAGAAACAAATGCCTACATCTTTCAAACATCTAGGGACAATCAATGATTTTGGCGGGCCCTCCTGCAGAACCTCTTGGAGGCCTCTTGGGCCGTCTTGGAGGCTCTTGGGGGCCTCTTGGACCGCATTGGGCAATATTGAGGCCATCTTAGGCCGTCTTGGATTCATCTTGGGCCGTCCTGGAGGCATCTTGGGGTCATCTTTCCCGTCTTGGAGACGATCGTGGCCGTCTTAAAAGCCTCTTGGGGCCCTCTTGGGGCCATCTTGGGGGCCTCTTGGGCCGTCACGGGGCCATCTTGGAGGCCTCGTGGGCGATCTTGGGGGCCTGTTGGGCCGTCTTGAGCCGTCGGAATGCCGAGAAGAAAAATCCTTCAAAAACCAGTGGAGAATCAATGATTTTGGCCTCTTCGGGTCCTCCTGGAGGGCCTCTTGGAGGCCTCTTGGGTCGTGCTGGGCCGTCTTGGGGGCTTTTTAGGCGAACTTGGAGGTATCTTGGACTCTCTTGGGCCGTCTTGGAGGCCGTATTGGACCATCTTGGGCGGACTTGGAGGCCATTTTGGACCATCTTGGAGGCCATTTTTTGCCATCTTGGAGGCCATCTTGAACGGGCCGAAGCCCCAGGGGGAGTTCTTTTGGAAAAAGAACCACGACCAAAACCGAAAGGGTCTAGCACGCCGGGCACCCCTGTGGCAAGCCAGCAGGGGGCGGCGGATCGAATGGCCTTCGGCCCATCCCGCCAACGTGCCTGGGTTGCGCAGGCGATCCAGAATCGGTCGATGATGAACGATCTGATTTTTCGGAAAGAGCCGATCGTTCGAGGTTGAACGAACACCACGGTGTCAGAAACCAACGCCAAAGTCGGCACGACACGAGTTTGCCGTACACCACGTCGCCCAGTCGGCCAAGGGGGGTCCAGTGAGATCGGCGAAGGAGCTCGGCGCTGGCAGGAGCTCCTGCACCCCACAGCTCTGGAAGCCGGAGCGTGGCTCCTGCCCGCAACTTCAGCCTGGTACACTGTACACCTCACTCCTCTTCCTCCTCCACTGCTGCCTCCCACTCCTCCTCTTACTCCTTCCTCCCCCCGTCCTCCTCCCTTCTCTCCTCCTCGTCTCTTTTCTCCTCTTCTCCTCCTCCCTCCTCCTCCTTCGACCTTCGATCTGCGGACCCTTGGTTGTATGAACGGATGCGGTCCTCGCCTCCTCCACCTCCTCCTCCTCCTCCTCCTCGTCCTCTATTGTCAGACCGCCGCTCAGGTGTCATGTGCTGCAAGTTTTTGCATGAGGAGCTTCAGACACCCCATTGACTTCAATTATTCTATTATCATCCTCTACTGTCCACCTCACTCCTCCCCCTCCGATCCTCGCAGATGGAGGGGGATGATATTCGTGACGGCGGGAATCCTCCAGGTTGTGCTGCGATGGCCAGACGGCCGCTCCCGCGGCTTCGGCTACGTGATCCCAGAGGCATCCGCCGCATCCGCTGCCCCAATTTGCAGGGCCCATTCCCACCCGATCGATCCGATTCGATATCGATTCCGGCCAGACCGATCCGATTCGATTTCGATGTTCGGGCGATCCGAACGGCCCGTTGCGTGCATGGCGCTGTTGTGCATCCTGGCGCCGCCGATTCGATCCGGTTCGATTCCGATTCCGTGCAGATGCAGTCCGATTCGATGCGCAGTCCGATCCGATCCGATTTTCTGATTCGATGCTGACTGTTCTTGCATTGTGCGTGGCGGCCCATCCCCACCAGCCCACCCTCCCAGGTGGAGGTAGGCCCCGCGAAACCCGAAGGAAAAGGCACACATGATCCAGGGTTGCCTCCCCCCCATTGCACATGGGATCGATCCCCCCCCGCCTCCGCTGGATGGGCACGCCAGTGAGCCTTGCGAAGGCTTCGCGAATGGGATCGCTCCACCCCCCCCTGTGGTCGTGGTCCTGTGGGGGTGGTGTGGTGGGGGTGACGGTGCCCCCACCCCCTGGGTGTCGAGTGGTTCGTCGTCGTCGTCGTCGTCGTCGTCGACATCGTCGCCGTCGGCTTCTGCGTCGGCGTCGGCGTCGGCGTCGGCGTCGTCGTCGGCGTCATCGTCGTCTTTGGCGTCGTCGTCGTCGTCGTCGTTGTCGTCGTCGTCGTCGTCGTCGTCGTCGTCGTCGTCGTCGTCGTCCCCCAATCCCATGGTGTGGGCTGTGAACCCGCGACACTGGATCATATATGATCCAGTGGTCGATCCAACCCCCTCTCCCAATGCTAATGGGACCGCCCCCCCCCCCCGCTGGATGGGTACGCCAGTGAGCCTCGCCAAGGTCTCGCGAATGGGATCGCCCGTGGTCGTGGCCCTGTGGGCGTGCCGTGGTGGTGGGTGCCAGTGCCCCCCTCCCCCTGTTGGTGTGGAGTGGCGGTTCGTCGTGGTCGTCGTCGTGGTCGTCGTCGTCGTCGTCGTCGTCGTGGTCGTCGTTGTCGTCGTCGTCGTGGTCGTCGTCGTGGTCGTCGTCGTCGTCGTCGTCGTCGTCGTCGTCGTCGTCGTCGTCGTCGTCGTCGTCGTCCCCCCATCCCATCTGGGCGGGGGGCTGAGGAACCCTGGGGCCCATCCTATCTGGGGGTGGGGGGCCTGTGAACCCTCGACCCAGAGATATATGATCCCCTCCTCGGTGGGCAATTCGACCATTGGGGATGGGGATCGGTGAAACGATGCTCATGGAGAAAGGGGTCCGGTAGGTTTTTTCTGGCCCCCAGGATCGTAGGAGAAACGACCTTGGATGAATAGCAGAGGATTTTCCTCCAGCTGCCTTTCTTCGCAGCCCCCTCGAGCGAGGTCGAGAACTTGGAGAGAGCTAGGGGGGGATCAGGACTTGTTATTCACCTCCGTAGCCATTTTGGCTCAAGGCTAAACGGAGGACGCTAACGTAACATAGCTGACTCTGATTAGCTTTGGCCCGTCCGTCGCTCCTCTGTCGAGCGATTCGGGTACACCTACGATCCTGCTGTGTGCGAGTCTGCCTCAGCAGCCCTTCTTTGCTAACACCTCTTTCACGACGCCGTCTTGGCCCCTTTTCCCGCCTGCGCGAGCTCCCCCTGGGAGCCAGCCGATGCCACCGCCTGCCCGCGATGCGCGAGGTTGCCTGTCCGCATCGGCGCACTCCTCGCGGCCTGGCGACGCTGGACCCGCTGCCCGTGGACATCAGGCGCGGGAGGCGGCCCGTGGGGAAGGTTCTCCCCGCTCGCGCTCGGGGGGAGCCGCTGCCGCGGAAAAAGAGCGAGACCTACGACAGGCTGGGCTCGGCCGCCGTCCTCCTGCTGGTGCTCGCTCTGCGGATCCTCTGCAAGGCGCTGCTGACCCATGGGGCAGTGAAGCAGCCGCCAGTGGTGGCCCACCCGCTCCCAAGCGGCCGCACTTGCTGCAAGGAGCCAGTGACGACTCCTCCTCTTCGCTGTCGCGGGGAGATATCGACGAGCTGCTGGCGGCCTTCAAGTCTGATGTGGAGCGGTCCATCAACACGCGCATGGGCGAGACCAAGCGCAGCATCATCACGGAAGTCAACGGCCACACGGCTAACTTGGTCAAGGCCGCCAGTGATCGACAAGAGGCCACTAATGTACAAGTACGGTCAGAACTGGATGAACTTCGCCAGCGTCAAACTTCCTTCGAGGCGGAGCAACGTCAGGTCAGAGCTGAAGTGGAGCAGCTCCGCCGCGAGCTGCACATCGCGGAGGCCGCAATCCCCATCAAGGACTTCGGCAGCGCGCTGGAGTGGGACAGAGACCCAGATGGCACGGTCTTCATCGCGAACACGGGGGCCATGGTCACGGTGGATGCTCTCAAGGAGCAGCTGGCGGCCTGGATGCAGGACGCGGGCATGGAGGAGCAGCAGTGGAAGGTACTGGGCAACTCGCCTGGACGTCGTTTCACGGTGCAGATGTCAGGGGATGCGAATGCAGGGATGCGCAAGGTCAAGCAGGCGCGGCGCTTCCTCAGGCAGAACAATGAATGGAGGCAGTTCAGCTGCCCGACGGTGGAGGGAGGTCGCTCGCGCATTTACGTGGGCTTGGACAGAAGTGACAAAATGGTTAGGAGAGAAATTCAGACCAAGAAGTTGGCAGGTCTGGTACGTGAGGCACATGCGGAGCTACGTGTGCGACATGATCGGACGAAGGGCATCGTTTTTGTGGAAGGACAGCCAGCAGTCCAGCTCGAGATCGGACAGGAAAAGGATGCCCCGACGAAGTTGCTTTGGAACTACGCGGCGGTTCGCTCAAAGAACCTGGACAAGGAAGCATTGCTGGCGTGCTTCAACAGTATATTCCACACGTCGGAGGAGGTGCGGTGGCAAATTTAATACGATTATGCAACCTTGGATTGAGGACCTCTCGCAGTACGACACGGGGGTGCCCTCATTTATCACATGGAACGCTCGAGCTCTTCTTCGTCACCTTCCTGCTACTAGGAAGAAGAAATGCAGACGATTGGCAGCCTTGATGAAGCCTCACACCATGATTGGACTACAAGAAGTGCACGGTACTGAAGAGGAGCTGCGTCATGAGGTCTATTTGACACACAAGAAGGCAGCGGTCTTCGCGTCGGTGCCTCGTCACAACGCTGGAGGTGTGGCCCTACTCCTGCCTGGTCTATCCCAACAGGAGGCTGACGAAGCTGCTGAAGCGGGGCGCCTCAGGCACACGGTGATCGTGCCTGGTTATGTCCAGCGCTTGCAGGTGAAGGCGAGGGCATCTCACTCCAACGGCACCCGCGCCCAGGACAGCATGCTCGTGGTCTACAACATCCACAATTTCGGCTTGGATGAGTCGGTGGCGACGGCGCTGATGAGAAGGATTGCTGCGGAGGCTGAAATAGCTGAGGCAAATCCGCAACGCTCCACAGTGCTGCTCATGGGAGACTTCAACTTCCACGAGAGGGCGGCGATGTACCTGGCCACCCCTGAGATAGACAAGGGCGTCATGACACAAGCGCGCCACAGGGAGAGAGGGAACCTCTGGCTGGACGCGCTGGCGGGCCTAGTGGAGCTGGACCCCGAGCAGCCGACGCACTACGTCCATGACGGGGAGCGCCTCACGCAGCTCGATAAGCTATTCACCTCGACGCCAGGCTGGATGCTCATCAATTGGTGCATCTCGGCCACGGTGATGGCCAAGCCCGAGGAGCTCCACAGCCAGGGCGTCTCTGACCATGCGCCTGTGCGCGTGACGTTTGCGTTGCGCCCGCAGCGCCCGCCACTGGAGCAGCCGCTCCCGCGGCATGTCTGCTGCTCCCCTTCCTTCTCTTTTCCTTTCGCTTCTGATCTCTCACTCCCCCCTCTACTCTCTTCCAACCATAGCACGGTGGCGCGAATATAAACGTCTTCTTCGGGAAGCTGCTCGGATGTCCAGGGATGCGTTGATCAAACAATCGGCTCCAGAGCTAGACTCGAAGCTTCTAATTTACAGATCTGTCGCCCGGGCTGTTAACTATAACGACACACGTCTTGCCTCTAAACTGCTGGCCGCTGCTCCTGCCGCCGCCGAGCATATCACGCTGGAGGAAGAAGGTCGTGTCGGTCTGAAGTCGGCTGTCGTGTTCCGTCGTCAATACGAAGGCCTCCAGCAGCTGCGCGCAGAGCGCAGATTAGCCTCGGCGGAGTCGGCGGTGAAAGCCAGTGAGTCGCAGAAGGAGCGCAAGCGTTTAAAATCGTACATGTACGTGGAGCGTAGGCGAGCCAAACTTTGGGCTCCTGTTCGGAAGACCCTTCCGCTTCAGGCCCTTGTGGGCCCCGATGGTGCTGTCGTGTCGGATGCGCAGACGATGACATCGGCGTTGCATCAGCACTGGGCCCCTGTTTTCGCTTGGAAACAGGTCCCTGTCAAGCATGTGCGTAGGTACTTAGCGCAGCGCGCATGCCCTTTTGACTGGTCTGGTGTCAGTGTGCCCACGGTCAATCAGATCAGGGAGACGCTGAAGCGAGCGAAGCCCACCGCTCCAGGCCCCGACGGTCTTCCCTATGCAGCATGGCAGCAGCACGAATTGTCTGCAGAGATACTTTACGACCTCCTCCTCTACCTCCAGGCTGGCTTCCCCCCTCCAACGGATATGAATGACGTGATTCTAATCTTCGCGCCTAAAGGCAAGCGTGAAGACGATAGTCAGTGTGTTGTGAGAGAACCTGCAGCCACAAGACCGCTCGCTCTCAAGAACACGGATATTAAGGTGCTCTCGTCGGTTTGCAACTTCCAGTTTAAGAGAATGTTGAGTTCCCAGGCTCAGGAGGACCAAAAGGGCTTCCTGGTCGGCAGAATTTTTTTGGAGAACATCACCCTCCTGGATACGACGTCCAGGATCCTTGGGATGCCCGACCGCGCCAGGGTCCATCACCCCATCCTCTTCCTTGCCGATTTTGGCAATGCCTTCCCCTCTCTGGCTCACATTTTCCTGTGGGAGGTGCTTTCCATCGTTGGAATGCCTTCGGGTCTCCTGGCGTTCTTTCAGGCCACGTACGCCTTCGCGTGCGCGAAAACTCCGATCCTGGGTCAGCTCCTGGCCTTCTGTGTGATATGTTCGGGCGCCATGCAGGGGGACCCTGCTAGTGGATCGTTGTGGGCCTTCTCGATGGACCCCCTCCTGAGGGCCCTCAGGAAGCGTCTTGACCTCTCGCCAGGTTCGGAGTCGGGCGTGTGCGCGGACGATGTGGGGTTAGCTCTTTCGGAGGTCAAGGCTCTTAAGAGAGTGCATGGTGTTTTTTATGCGGCCGAGGTCCTTGCGGGTCTTCAATTAAAAATACCAAAGTGTTGCATTGTTCCGCTGGAAGCGGAGTTCTCGCCAGAACTGCGGAAGACAATCGAGGCTCTGCTAGCTGTGCATGTCCCGAGCTGGAAAAGGATGCCTGTCGCCGCCATGGCAGAGTACCTTGGGGTGTGGATAGGCCCTGCTGCGAATAAGGAGATGTGGTCGAGGATGTTTCGGGAGTGGGTGGAGGTTGTGCACGCGATAACAAAGCAGCAGGCCGCCCCCTCGGTCGCCATGCAGCTTTATAACTCTCGTGCTGTTTCCAAATTCTCCTACCTCTGCCAGCTTGCCCCTCTCCCAAAGCTTGTGGCACGATGGGAGTCGTGGGCCCTGCACAAAGTCCTCCACCTGCCTCCTTGTACCTTCCCGCTCCAGGATCTTCTCGCTCTCAGGACTTGGGCCAAGGTTCGCCCCTTGTCGCTCAAGGTGCAGGCCACTGCGACATTGTGGCGAGCTGCGACCACCACGATCAAGAACTGGAGGCCCCTGTTCTGCCGCCTGCAGCAGAAGGCAAGGAGCTTTCTTCCGATCGCTCTCTGGGCTCGCCACAGTTGGTCACCCTCGTTTTGGCAGCGTAGATCGTTTGTGCAGGAATTGGCCGAGGCGGCTGCAGGATTTGTCGAGAATGATTGGCTGCGGGACCCTGTTGCTCGTGCCAAGCTCGCTCTGAAGGAAGCCCAAGGGTTGAATCCGCGGGTCCAGGTCCAGAGGGTTTTTGGCCGTTCCCTGGGTGCGAGTCTTTATCAGGATTGCCTCTCGGACACCATCATTCGGCGTATTTCTTCGTGGGCCTCGAGGCCTCCTTCTGCCCGTGCCCTGAAAGCCATAGACTGGCCCGCTCTTCGGACCCGAATGTTGAGCGCGCCTCCGTCTTGGCAGATGTGCATTGTAAAGACTCTAGCGGGTGGGTGGGTGACGGAGCGGAGGATGTCTCAGAAGCGCTGCCAGTGTCTTTTCGGATGTTCTGAGGAGGAGGGTGAGGACAGCCAGGCTCATTATATGAGCTGCCCGTGGCTTTGGGGTGCGGTCCACCAAGTCTGGCATCCTGACAAGCCCCTCCCAGTGCATCTCGATTCTCGGCTCGCCCTCGCTCGCTCGCTTACAGATGATGAGCGGGACCTGGCAGCCCAACGGCTTGTAATTGCGTTCTATCTTTACAATGCTCACCGTCGTTGCTCTTCTCAGGCCCTGGTAACTTCAGCTCGTGCAGCACGAGCCCAGATGCTTCAGCAGGCTGATGTAGAGTGATGAGGACTTGTGGACTTTCCTGGGCTACGTGCGAGGACTTGTTATTCACCAGGACCCTTCGTATTCATGACAAAGATCAGGAGGGACAGAGGAAGGAGGCAGGACCATAGAATCGATGATCGAGGTCTTTGAGCGTTTCTGAGCCTCTGTGGCTCCTGGAGGGCGCCCTCGTCGCCACAATTCGGATTCGCCTCGAAGTTTTGGCCTGAACGCATCCCAGGAGGGCCGCAGTGCCAGCAGGGGTGGGTCCTTCCCCGGGCCCTGCCACTTGCCACGACGTGGGCCCCCGGAGCTCCCGCCCCCGCCCCCGTGGCTGGTCTCTCTTTACGCCGGGCGCTCCTTGGTAGCCCTGGGGCCAGAGGACGGCCCCGGGAGGCCGCACCACGGAGGGGTGGGGCGGGGGCGCCCGCCGTGAGGCCGGGGGTGCCCAACCACGCATCCCTGATCCGGTGTTGACCGCAGCGCCTCGCGCGCCCTGACTGCACGCGAGCGACATCGCCGTGTCTCCACGCGGCAGGGTCGCAGGCCCGCGCCGGCAAGCCTCCAGTCCGGTGGGCCGGGCCCAACAAGTTGGGAGCACGATTTGCTCGTGGTCGCGTTCGCGTCGCTCCGTGGTTTGTTCGCTTCGCTTCCTCCCTCTCCTCCGACTGAAAGGTGCGGAGGGACGGCGGGCGCAGACTCCGAGTCTCTTAATCAGCGTCGGGGGGGCGCCACCCCCGCCGACAGCCATACTTCGACCCCCGTCGCCGACGGCCACCGCGCGCCGCAGGCGCTCCGACCCCCGTCGCGGCGCGACGACGAGGCGAGGTTGACCCCCGTCGGCGGGTACCCCCCCACGCTTATTAATAAACCCAGAGTGTGGGATTCCATTAGTCGAGGTCTGCATCGTGCGCGCGGCGTGGGGTCGCCGTAGAAGAGAGGCCCGGGGACGATGTTTTGCCCAGGCATTCCGCGGGCCGAGATTCTTCCGAATACGCCGGCCCCTGGAGCCCTTGACCTCTTTCGGCGGTGCGCCTGGGAAGGGCCCCAGGGAGGAAGGGAGAAGGCAGGGCTGGACCTAAACGATGTTTTGCTGGACTTCAGTTTTGTTTTTTTTTTGTGTTGTCCTTGTGAGGGAGGTACAGGAAAGCAGGCAGGGCAAAACGAAGAACAAGACGAACACACAACGACACACAACGTGTAGGTCCAGCTCTGGGAGAAGGGCAGGCAAACCTCGGCCTGATGCCGCTCGAGCCGCCAGAGGCTCTGGTGGGGGGCTCCGTCCCGCGGGCAAGGCGCACCCGCGAGCTGCCGCCGCGAGGCTGCGGGCTCATGGGTCGCGGGGATCTTCGGCAGCCTCTGGGGCTATGATGAAAGCTGAACTTTCGGTGTTTGTGATTGCAACTGCCAACAACTTTGAATATCATTTCCGCTGCTTTCGCACAGCATTTTCGAAATTGTTGCGAGGCATTTTCGGCAGCGTTGATCGCCAGACTCACGCGCGGGTGCTTTTTTTGCTTGACACACTGGCGCGTTTTGGTGTTTGTTTCGCGCGTTTTGATTTTCATTTTCGTGGCTGTTGTTGTCTGTGTTGCGCGATGCGCTTCGCGGTTTTCACGCGCGTTGCGCGGCGACTCGCGCGCGCCCGCGCAACTCGCGGACGCGCGACCGCCATTTCGGGATCAACCGAGACATGCTTGGGTTACTATTGGTGTGTGGTTCTGTTGACGATCGCGTCTGGGTTTGTTTCACTGGGTCGGGGGCTCGGTCCCTCCGGGCGCGCGGAGAGTGCCGAGCGACGTTGTGCTGCTCGCTGGTACACATACAAAAAATGTCAGAACAAAAAACAACACACACGCATTTTGACTAACGTGCAAGCGCGCGTGCACATATGACGGGACGCATACGTATAAACACACATGCAGTAGCACGCATCTGTACACATGCACACGCGCGAGCGTACACACATAATTATATAAAGCAAGGTCGCGCAAATATGCATGCGCGCGCGCGTGTGACTATATGCGTGTAGGAATACATTCAAATATACAATGAATGCGAACGTGTATATACACATCAAGATGCACGCGCAGATAATTCTCTGTGCATTTAGCTTCACCCCCCGTTGTTTGTCATTGCGGGCGGGGGGCGGGGGCGAGGGGCAGCGACGGACGTGGGGGCACGGGCGAGCGGAGTTGCATCGCCGTTGTATTCGCAGCCAGCTCGGCCCATGTCTTTTCTGGCAAGGAAGTTGGCTTTTCTGTTGAAGGCCAGCGCCAGCTGCAGCGATGGCATTCTCGTGATATCCGAGGCCCGTCTCGTCTGGCTGTTGTCGTCGCTGAATGGCAGCGGCGCCCACGTGGGCGCGTGGGCGGCCGAGCGGTCATGGGGGGAGGGCCCGCGCCCCAAATCTGTCGAGCGGCCCCCACCTCAGCTCCGCCCTCGTCCTCCTCGTCCTCCTCGTCCTCCTCGTCTTCCTCCTCCTCCTCCTCCTCCTACTCTGCCACCCCCTTTTCTTTGTCATGCTGCTCGTCATCCTCTCGCCGTCTCGGGGCGGCAGCGGCATCCCCCCCCCCCCCGGCGGGCCCCCCCCTGCCGCTTTCTTTCCGTGACAGGCTGGCGCGCTGGCACGCCCAGAACCGCTACTCAATCGACGTCGTCCACGCCATCCTGGCGCACGCGCGGATCCCATTTGTCGAGGAAGCATGGGACCAGGCAGGGTGCTGAAAGAGAGTGGGAGGAGCGGGGAGCGGGGAGTGGAGCGGGCGAGGGCGAGGAGGAGGACCGAGCAGGAGGGAGATGAGGACGACGAGGAAGGAAGGGTAGGGGAGTGGAGCGGGCGCGGGCGAGGACTCGCGGCGAGGACGAGCATGAGGATGCGGAGGAGGAGGAGGAGGAGGAGGAGGAGGAGGAGGGGGAGGAGAAGGAGGAGGAGGGGGAGGAGGATGGGCGAGGAGGAGAAGGAGGAGGAGGAAGAGGAGGAGGAGGAGGAGGAGGAGCGGGTCGGGTTGGCAGGCTAAGAGTCCGAATGGATTGGGCGGGCGCCCCGCGCCCCATGAGGCACTCGCAGAGCTGCGCCAAGACCAGGGCTTCCAGATGGCGGCGCTCGTTCCCGCAGCGGCGCCCGCGCTGCCGCCTCAGCCGCCTCTACCTCCCCCGCGGCCTGATGCAGGCTCGACTTCGGGATGTCAGATATTCTTATTCTCGGAATGTAGGGGGCAAGGGGTCAGCCTCGTCGCCCGTCTCGTCGTCGTTGTCGTAGCGTCCTCCTGTTGGTCCTGCTGCTGCTCCTGCTTCTCACTGTCTCGCTGTCCTCTCCCCTGATCCGCCGCGCCGCCGCGCCCGGAGAGGCTGGCGCGCTGGTCCTGCCGCCGAGCCCGATGTCCAGCAGCAACTGGCGGCGGCCCTGCGCCGCGTGGAAGTCCTTGAGAGGCGGGTGGTTTCGCTATCAGGTTTGAACGCGCAGAAGAGATATGAGCTTCGCAATAGGAATGTCTCCCTCGCCAGAGCACATAATCGGATTGAGGAGCTAGAGAACAAGATCTCGGCAACCGAGACCGACGCCCTCGCGAAGAGAGGCCGATGCATGCGATATTTCAGTGACAGCGGTGGATTTCATCTAGCCACCCGAATGGTTATTTCAAATGCTCCATGCCATTCTCTGGGGTTGGCGTGTGGCCGAGACGTATCTGGCCAAACGGCCTCGCGCTGGGCCCTCAAGCTGAGGGCCGCCCGCATCGCGTCATTTCGAACCTTCCTGCACGACGGCTACCGCGATGCGTCGTCGGAGCTGGCGTTCCAGGCTGCATCGTCTTCGGAGTCTTCGCCGCTGGGCTGGAGCCTGGCGATGCACATTGCGCGCGGAGACGCAACAAATACACAGGCTCTATGGGCCTAACTATCTCCCTGCCGATGTGCCCCTCTACGCTGGGTGGGGAAGGGGGTGGGGCAAGCGGGCCCTCGACCTCAACCCTTCCGCCGCCTGCCCCGCCATCGGGCGCTCGATCCCGCCCCCCTGCGCCCGTAGGTCTGGCAGAAATGCAAGCTCCACGTCACGGAGATCGAGAGCACCTTCATCGTGTCCCCAATCGGCCCCGCCGAGCCGTTCCATGAGGTGCGAGGCCGTGCTGTTACCAGGAAAATCTTGGGCGACCTCCAGGTCGGGGCTGGATGATAACGGTGCAGTGGCGCACCTGTGCCCCCCCAGTAGTGATTCAAGAGGGGTGAGCGCGTTCAGGGGGGGCGCGTGACACGTGCTCCCCGGAGCTGCCTTGTCAGATCTTTTCCTATTATTCTTCCATCTCCTTTTCCCCCTCCTCCTCCCCCTCTTCCTCCTCATCATCATCGCCAGCATCATCATCATCAGCGTCGCCATCGCCGCCCCCATTCCCCCCTTTCAAGTGCCCCGAGAAGAAGGTCGGCTTTGGGGTTGGGGTCCAGGGTGT